AACTGAGAGTAAATATGAAACTAGCGATAATTGCGATTTGTACAAAATAGTAAAAATACGGAAAGATCAGACACGGAAGAAATTACTTTTTTGCACTTTACCAGGTTATTATGCTGGGCGACACCCAGGAACTGTCGCGACAAAGTTGCAATTCTTGCGTAAGAAGTGTTCGCGCTGTTTTCCTTTGTTCCGAGTCATTTAATCATGATATACTTTTCCATGCATCGTTATCAGGAAAATATTCTGGTTAATAATACAGGTAATCCTGGTGAAACACGAAAAATTTTAACAATATAAAAATTAATACCAAAAATAAAATTTTAATATAACTAAACTAAACATTCAGATTTTAATTATATATCAATAATTTTCACAGATGAGTTCTCAAAGACTTTATTATACAAAGGTTACCTATAATTCTTTCATAATTAAAAATTTTCCAAACACGGTATGAACATCGATTAATCTTCAAAACAGTGGAAACGTTAATCCTTACATAATCCGATATAGTTCAAAGGGTCCAGAGTTCGTGACACCTCGGTCGATAATTCCTTTCTTTCGCAATAAATATGACCGACCCTTCTCATTTCCCAAAAACGTATCTTCGCGGTAGCCACGTCAGCGTGTGTTACACCGGTAATCACCGTTGCAAGAGTCGAGATAACTTATCGCATGTCTAGAACAACCAAGGTAGCCGGTGACTGTCGTGTTCTCGTGAACGACACAGAGAACTTCGTATCGATCGATACGATCGATATTTTAATGATCATGCGTCATGATTTTGGGTGTCGATAAGTAGTTTGAAGTTGGTTATGAGGTTCCAGCGCTTTATGCGTGGCATAATCTGGTGAATATTTCGTAATAAGCGCCAGGCACGTGCGCATGCGCAGAGAAAGAAGAAACGGAGAATCTTTAGTCCCATGAACGTTTATCTATTTCTTGAAATTTGATAATTAAAACAGAAGATAAATTCTCCTGGATTCTATGTAGTATTTGTCATAGAAGATATAAATTATACACGTACATATTGCAAATTCATTTGTGTAGTGGCTCAACATTACAGTAGTTAGTACGTTGAGGGAAGGTCCCATGATCCCGCGGCTGAGCGCGCCACCGAATTAGGCTATCAGTTCCCTATTTGTCCCACAACCGATTCGAGACACGGTCGTAAAACGTTTTCCTCCGTTCGGCCGAGAGACGAAGGGAAAACGTATCAGCCAATAAGGGGATAGGTTGTAACGTTTTCATCGGTGCATAAATAGACTTAATCAAGCAGCAAGCACTACGCAGCAATGCTTGTAATTACGCGATAGTTATTCGAGGCGCAACGATATCTCCGTAAATGCATTTCGCCAAACTCCGAAACGGCGTATATATAAACATGAACCTGCGCACGCTACATGAACATAAGTCCGCAAGTCCCGTTCTGTGGCGCGCGTGGATATTTACCTTGTTATATTGTTTGCATAAATCTAGGTTGAGGTTAGCTACGTCTTTTTTTTTTTTTTTTTTATACGATCAGGAAATTAACGCTCGTTTTATGTACGACGTCGTAGCGAATACACCGTGACGAATATAGTAAAGTATGTTGTAATTATTTAACACATAACAGAAAAAATATTTATTTGCATTTTTTATGTATATTATAAGACTACTGTGAGTAGGGTTAAAAAATTCACTTCCTTGACTTTGCCAGCTTTCACATCGCAGTAACAGACCGCATCGATCTTGATTCAAACGCGAGCTTAATTTTACACGCATTAATTCACTTCTATTCGTTATAGTTCTAATATTCATCTTACACGCGAACCTTTTTGCATCAAGGTCTTAAGAATGTTCCGGTTAATTTCTTTTTCACGAGCACTTACAATTAGTAGGGGACGCGAAACAAAGGAATTGAAAGGGCGGCTTAAGGATACACCGTGGGTCGTGTCTACGTAATTATTATATCGACCTGAAGACCAAGGATTATTCAGGAATCTTAGAACCTAGAATAATATTCCGCAGAATAATACGGTGAATCTAGTTTGTACGCGTTTTATTGCTTCATTTCGTGTTTCGAGGTGTCTAAGGCTATTATGTGTGATATAGAGAAGTTTACCGCGTGCTAGGGATTAACAATAGTGGCTATGGAGAAAGAAGTATGGTCGTGTCGCGTCGCTTGTCTATGACGAATATTTTAGGATCTTCTAGCGACAGGTAATCAACGATGACGCCTGTCGACACTCAGGTCAGATGGTTGTCGATGGGAGAACCACTCATAAAGGCTGACAAAAACATTTCGACGGTCATTAAGTGTATCACGTGGTAGAAAGTCGTGGAGGTGTCACGGGGGTTTTCCGGGCGAAAGTAAACCGTATAATTTTGGCACGAATGAGTCAACACCGTGGTGATGATTAATAGTCGAATGGGTTTTTGAAACATAATTTTGCTTGTTTGGTCACGTAAGAACATTTCTTGTCTATAGTATGCATCGGTTGCATCATCCTTTGATTGACTAATGGTGGATACTTTCCTAAACGATCCCCAAATTGCTTTTCTAGTCACTTTTTCTTTTAATTTTTTTTTTTTTTTTTATGTAATTAATAGGTAGTACTTCCTCGCTTATAGTGATTTCTTTTTACGTTTCTTTTCCTTTTACGAATTACCTTGTTCGTTACTAGGTGAATTCACAAGCTATCGATTTACCATTGTAGCTACATACTAGGTTACAAAGTCTGTTTCAGTTAAGAAAACTTATGTTGCAAATAACGTAAGCAGTATGTAAATGTGTAAAAAGGTGACTACGTACAGGTTATGTTTCGCAGATTGCTAAACATGTTTGAAAATTGTTCGACCGCCATTGGCGTAGCGATTACGAAAATCTCTTAAATAAATGGATTCGTCTCCCGTGAGAGTCGCATGTGTTTGACTCTCTCTAACATAGAAATCTACATAATTTCGTTTACTTATTGAATAATTCATTTGAATATTCTCTTTAACGTCTTGTAGTTTTGCAAGACTCCGATTCTCGTAAAAATATTTTTTTCTTTATCGATATTTACTCAAATGAACTGCGGTTTTGAAATAATGAGTGACTCACTTTGGGTACTCTTTTTTGTAACTCATGCTCATGGCCCAAAAAGATGACGATAAAGTCATGATCATGATTACGTAAGCGACGACCATCGAGATTTAACGATGGATCATTTAAAGCAGGGCGATATCGTTGCAATAAAACACTTAAAAGGAGACATGTAGATGTGTGACCGATGATTCTTCCATAATTTTACTCTAAATTCGAGATAACACAGTTCCAGTTGCCATGTATACCCGGTCCCCGTTTTTTGCCGGTAGATTTTGTCATACACCGTGGTTATGCAGCCTGGAACGAAAACAAAGAGCCACTTCGACATTTGATATTTGCGAAGAAAATGCGCGCGAGTCTTCGTACCTGCGACCTCTGACGTAAAATAGAGTCTCGACTTTCCTCCTTGCTTGTAAACTGAAATAAAAATTGCAACCGGGATTTGTGAACGATGAAATCATTGAAATTCACGAATTAATTATAAACATTATAAATACAAAATTCATTTCATTTTAGTCAGAAACTGTATGAAAAAGCCATGTTCGATTCACTGTTTAACATGCTATTCTTTTGTGCAACAGTTTTACCTCATTTACGACGTAATTCATAATCATGTACCTAACTGGAATCAACAACTTATTATGAGCCATTGAGAGTCACGGAACGCAAGCTATTTCGTTCCGTTCCCATTGTTCCGCATAGAAAAAGCTTTCCCGCTCGAAATTACAATTTGTCATATTCCAAGACCGGCATTAATTACAGAAACTATCATTCGCGTTCGTCTTCGATATTACTAGCCAAGACAAACCGAAGTATTTTATTGGAACAGCCTTCCTTGGGCTACCGTGCCATTATTGGACAATTCGAAACCGGTTACAGTGTCCTGTTGGTAAGAAGGGGTTTGGTGTCAAGGTGGTGGGGGGCAGGGTCTAGTGAGACGGGGTAGTGGGTGAAAAAGTTATATTTCTTTGCTATATGAATCGTTCACCCCCGAAAGCAGATTAGTATACCTGTTGCATAGGTTAAGGAACCTTTGAGGGCGAAGGTAAACTTTTCAGTTCACTTTAGTATACGAGAAATAGTCGTAGCATCAAGATTACCGGAATTCTTTCGTTTGGTTTCGACAGTTTTCGTGACTTGTCGTGAATACACATTTCAGATTCGTCTCACGTGCACGCTGAGTTTAGCCTGGCTTTGTTTTGCTTCGGTGTTCTGAGATAAGACGTGTGCTGGTAGTGCGCGTATCCGTTGGCTGTGAAGGTTCTTGATATGTGAGGAAAAAACGTTGCTCCGAACGAAGAGGCTACGTAAACATAATATGGTGAGGCTACTTGTCGCGTTCGACCGTGTGTTTTGAAAGACTTCCCACAGAACAAGATGTGGCGCGACGAGAGGGGAATGTCGCGTACACCACGTGGTGCAGTGTGGTTCTATTGTTACGTGGCGACGAAATATCGCCGACCACAGAGACTAGGCTTTTTCACTGGTAATATCAGTGAAAGATATTCGAAAGAAAGTCTCGATTATTCTTTAGACCTTGCGAGATTTTTCCTATTCTATTTTAAAATTGTGAGTTTCAGCAGTTTTTTATTGAATAAAAATGTGACGAGTCAAGGATATACAATATATACTCATATGTATTGACAGACAGAAATGGAAAGCTTACGCATATATTCATTGAGCGCTACAATGGCTCGTCAATTAACGGTAGATTTAGAAATTCAGAATTTAATTTTTCATTTGAAATACGCCGTGAGTGAATTTTGAATTGAACATGATAAACAGTTTATCTCTACCCCAAGTAATATACCATAGAAACAAGAAAAGTTTGAAGATTCGGTTACACGACCTCCCTTAGCGTGGTTTCCTGTTACCCGCCGGACCCATGTTTTTAGAATAAAACAACGAATGAGTAATTTATTGTTTGTTCCAGATGCCACAGAATCGGAAAAAGTGAAGTTCGAAGATTCGAGGGACTCGACGAGCGGATCGACTGCGACGACCGGCAGCGGCGCGGGCGGAGGCAAACGAGCCAAGAACAAGAAGAGACGCGAGGCGCAGCAGGAGTTCACGCATTCCTGGATGGTGGGTGCGCTGAAGGGTCACACCGCCCCTGTCCTCGACATGAATTTCTCGAGCAACGGCAAGTTCCTCGCAAGCTGTGCCGAAGGTACGTGTTTAAAACGTTAGAATAATGAAAATTTTCTTCGTGAGAGGTCTCTATCAGCAACATCTTATCGTAGCAGTGTGCTTGGATTTCTGTATTAGGATCATGATGGAGAGAACCGAGGTGAAGCTATAGTCTGCATAGAGTGATAATCAAGGAGCAAAGATTAAAACCGATCGTTTGGGTCGATTAATGTTATTCGTTAACCTTATCGATGGAAATACTTTCTTCTTGGTATTTCGATAAAGAGAAAATTGTATACGTCTCATAAGAGATGTATTGTTCGGCTGAAAAAATATTTCGATTATCTAGAAAAGTTGCACAATGTTATGTGATTTATAAGAGAATTCAAAGGCCATGCGGGGACGAGCGTGAATCATAAATCAAATAGCCTAGAGATTTATTTTGGAGAAGATGCTACGCCGTCATATTGGCAGCGTGTAACAATTGCCATTGTTGCGCCAGAAAAGCGATAAAAAATGTTATGTCTCTGATAGAGCCCGACACGAAGGACGATCTTCGTTATTTCTCTCTCTCTCTTTTTTTTTTAATGTTTTTTTAAACTCCCGTGGTACATGTAACTCGTTATAGTAGGACGAGGATTTTTTCGTCCCGAAAAAGAGGCGCGGGCGTTATTTGTGTTTTCATCGGTGACGCGATGGGCTTTTTTTTATTTGCATGTGTCATTGCTGTCCGTATTGTTGTGTCAGTAACAATAGCTGATCTCTGTCTCTGCTTTGCACCGTATCCAGGACGATTTACGATCGTCGTACACGCCTCGTGACGTTTCTTCTTCTCCACTCGGTTCATGCACATACACACACTGTATACCGAGGGCAAACGTGACCCAAGTAAAACTCCTATACGGCGTATCGAAGTATCTCACCTAATACATCATTTATACAATTAATAGGTATCGTACATTTTATTGATTTTTCCAACTGTATTGAATAGAAACTATGTTATTAAAGTACCGTGCAAACTCGAGGATTAGTTGCAATTTTAAATCGCGCGAACTATTTACCGACGGAGCTGAACTTGTCGAAAGGAAACGTGTTTTTCACGCGTTGAGCAGGAGCTTATTACCGGACACTCGCGTTACTCGTTGCAATTTTTCATCTAGTCTTACGAGTACAAGATAGGTTGGTAAAATGTAGGTCGTTCGAGTGAAATCAAGCTGTTCGGTTTCCAATGGGGCGCGCGCTTTGGACTCTCGAAAAACGTTATCCTGTTCCGAATGCTTTTTGTTCTTATCGATCGACCCGATTCCTATCTCTATACTCGTTTTTGTCGATTCCCCCCAGAGGGACACGAAATTTTAAACGAAACCGTTAGAGCTACGATCTCCTTTTCGTTTCGCTTCTCTTTTTCTCGTTCGTTTTATTGGTCCAATTAGCTGAAGAAAGACAAACATAGTGAAAGTATGAAAATGATGGAAAAATCGCTCGCGCTGAACGGCTACTTTCACTATTTCATCTTTGAGATCGAAACGGGATTAGACGCCTCGATTTCTCATTATTACCGATCAATATTAAAATCTTGTAATTCACCAACTTTTTCTTTCGTGCTAACGGCCATTTAACATTTGATTTTCGAGATAATTTTGAATGCAGAATGTCACGTTACGTGTATTTTGAAGCACCCTGTATAACCGTAAAGTACACATTGTTAGATGGATGTCGCAACAACACTTTGTGTAAGGGTTAAAATATTTGAACAGCTCGTTGCGGTCGTATCCTTTAATGGTTCAGGCGCGGTGATGGTCGTGGGTTACCCGTCGGCCATGGAAGATTTTCGTAAAGCTTCTCCGCCGCCAGCGAGTTTCTCTTCTTTCGTTTCTCTCCCCGGCCGCGTTTAACCTCGAATCCAGAGACGAGACGGGTACACCGTGCCACGTGTACGTGCGTGCCTACACGGGTACCGAGAAACATGAGTAATAGGAGCGTTCCAGCTCTGTGTTGTTCTTGGAAAAAGGGTCTTTTAACCGAAATACGGATGATTCCTTTTGCCTTCGTTAGCTCTCGACCTCCTTTAAGGTTATGTTCTTCCGTTAACCTCTGGTTCTGTACTCTTTTTTTCTTCTTTTTATTTCTTTTAATATTTTACCGTTGGAAATCGATTTACGAGAATATTTTATATTGGCGATTTATTTAGAGGGCAGATGGCGCTACAGTAGCCTTGAATGAAAGTCGTAAACAAAAAATGATGCACACGGATAAAATTAGAATGATTTGCATAACAGCGTGTTAGTTGTTTGTCCGTTGGATAACTTCTACCAAACAATAACGCCTAATTTCTCGGCATTTACCGTATCATCGTTAAGAGATTATTCGGTAATTAATGACTCATCAGTCATTAGCGGTCGCGTCAGCTGCGGAAACGCGTGCTATGAATCATTCTCCCGTGTATGTTACAACTAATCATCGATGATCGCGATAACATCACCAGATAGAGTCACCGTTGTTGCTTCTCAGGCGTTCTTCCGTATCCGGTGGACAATTTTAAAGCTGCAAAGTCTTGAAATACAAACCACGATCCCAAATAATCGCGAAAATGTCCGTGGGTTGAGGCTTAAATTTAGAAGACGACGGCAGTGAACTTGCACCGTATCTCAAATTGTCTCTTCCGTTTAATCGCGACTCTCACGTCGATGTACTTTATTGCCTCCTTCTGTAGCCATGTTTCTTGTTCTGATACAGTTTTGAAGAGTTAGATTTTTTTATTTATTTAAATAGTAAACAAATATTAATCAGTAGTAAAATACTTTAGATATTTGTTTAAAATTTTTTAATTCAAAGGGTATCGATTGCAAAAAATATATCTTTACACATCAGAAATGAGAGAAGCAGTGATTTAATTCGACACGGTATTACGAAGAGTCGAATTATTAATACCGATCAATCGACTATCCTGAATCTAATTCTGCGAAACGATATATAGAATTCGGGGCCACCGGTTGCCGCTTGCCGCATCGCTATCACCTTTTCGACGGGCGAACGTAACAAGCGCGGTTGTAACGACCTAATAATAGCGCGACGTGGGAAATTCTCTGGCCTTAAATCAAGCCCACACGTCGCGCGACGGATCGCTTGTGTTCGCGCGGCGCGTGGGCGCAATGAAGTGTCTCGTCGTAAGCCGATAATACGGTGTACAAGATTATCGACGGAGCCTCTACCTAGGCCACCCTTCCGATTCCCTCGACGAAATCTAATTTGTCGAGTTCTTGATCCATCGATTTCTAACCCGACATCGGTAAAATATTCTTTACAGGTCGACTTGGAAAATTGCAAAAAAGCAGAACGTGTAAACCTTTCCTAGTTGAAATTATATAAATATTTATTTGTATAGTCTTTTTGATATACAAAGTGCTTCATAACTGATGATGCAACCGTGAAGGGAGCGGATTGTACATAAAAACTAATCCGAAAATATAGAAATTTGTTAACACGTTAAGCGGCATGTCAGTCACCGGTGACTGACACTATACTTTCCGTTCGGACCGCGTCAGTCACCGGCGACTGACAGTATACTTTTCGTTCGGGCCGCGTCAGTCACTGTTGACTGACGATATACAATTCAAAAAATTATATTCTTCTATTAATAAATTTTAAATAATTTGGAGATCATAAAAGAATGTACCTAAATATTACTTGTTACCAAAAACAAATTTTAATGAGTATTATTAAAGCACATGCAGTCTTATCGCAATCTTACACAGATCTCCGGCCGCCAGCATATCGGTGAAATCGGATATCGCGGGCTAAACGGAAAGGAAGACAGAACAAGCTTGGCGCTTAACGTGTTAACGGGAGACGTAGTACCACCAGTTATGGGGACAACTCTGTGTATACCAGGGTGTTGTGTAACTGGTGGTACAAGTGAAAAGGTGGTGATTTTACATGAAAAACTGAATCGAAAATATAGAATAAAATTATTTCATAAGAGGTTTAGTTTTCAAGAAAATTGAATTTAAAAGTTCATCGAGTGCGCGTGCATTTAACTACCTCCTGGCTTTATGTTTATACTAATAAACGATACTAATTCCATGATATGTATTGATAATACATTTATAAACAATTTTTATAATTTAAATTTACATTACTGAACGAATTGTTGAAAGTAACATCTGTGTTAACGCATGTAAATCCCTGCTCTTTGAATCGGTGAGTCGTGAACCGATGAGTATTTTGACGCTTTAATTATGTGACAGCCTGTACGATTCTTTTTTTTAGCTGCAGATTATTTATATTTTTTATTTAGTTTTTCATGTAGAATCACTATTTGTCCGCTTGTACCACCAGTTACATGACACCCTGTATTTTTAATATGGTCTTTGTTCGAAAAGAGTTATTTTCTGATCTACAGAAAATATGTTCTTGGTGAGCCTGCTTATATACAAATCTCACGCTATAGTTAGTCGTTCAAGGCCACTCAGGGGCATCTACCCCCCCACCACTCTTCCATTTACCCACTTCACAGGACATCGTTTCACTTCCCAGTCGCACCAAGGCAAATACCAATATAAATTATATACACGTAATATTTTCTAAATTCTTAATCGAACAGGATGCCGACAGATTTTCTCAGGCTACACGTGGTTTCCTTGTCTCTCCTCACTGGTTGGCCGTTAGTCAGAGGCGCACGACGGTTGGGATTTCCTCGAAGAATCGAACGGATGATTTCATTAAATGACGCAACGGTACATATCGAAGCCGGTCATTCCTGCGAACGGGGATACCATGTTCCGTTATCCAAGATTTCCTCGTCTCTCCTGTCCAACCTTCCCACCCTTCGTCGTTTCCCTTTGCCCGAGCGAGGATCGTTTTTATTCGGTCCTGTTCGCCTCTTTCCGCCTCTCGCCTGTCTAAACCGAAGCATTCGTTTGCTGATGCAAGATTGCCATGGAAAATAATCATGCAGTATCCTTTTGGAGGAAAGTGTAGGAAAACTAGTAGCAAGGTCGAGGTAATTCCGATTTTCCGCCTGGGAAATTTCTAGAAATATTTCCAGGCCACCTGGCGTAATTCGATATGTAATTTGACGAGGTTTGTTTCTCGAGACTGTTTAGTGTATTTGGTTTTGAAGTAGAGTCAGTCAGGGTGGTTTGATTTCTCGTTTTTCGATCTGGAGAGGGGTTCGAGTCACGAGCTCTCAAGACATAAAGGCGTTTACGTTCTATTTATAATCGTGAGACGTAGGAAATGCAGAAACACGGTAAAAGATTGGCAAATAGTCGAGCGTGCCAAGCAATGTACAGGGTGGTTCGCGAGCAGCATAATTATAAGCGTGAACGTGATTATGAGATTAACCTAAGTGACATATTTGTTCTTTTAAGATATTTTAATTTTAATAGAAATAAGAAACAAATTTTTTTTCTATCAAAATTGCGCTTTTCAAGTTTTCAAGGTGCGTGCCTCTGATGGATCACCATGTACATTTTACAGAGTAACTTACAAGCAACGAAATGAACGGATTCCAAAATCTCCCCTCCATTTCACGTGATCCGCGGCCATCCGCCAATTTCCTCAAGTTCTCTGTCACGTGGGTCGCTCTAAATTGAACATTTTCCCAAATGTATACAATCATTCATTCGCTACGAGTGAATGCAGACACGCGTTTTCCTGGGACAGAACAAATTTTCTCTGAACTAACCTTTTTACACAAATACTGGCATCACCTTTTCTTATACAAAAAATTCTAAAATAATTACACGTTTTTTATGAAACATTTAAAAATTTCTCCTTTTTTTTTCATTTACAATTAACGCGTGTAAAAAGGAACGGTGTATTTCTAGCGGTAAAAACGGAAAAAAGAAAGCGACCCTTTCCGTGACGCATTCGGCGAAAGTTGGGTATTGCTGAATAAACAAGAAGCGTTAAAATGGTGTACACCTTTTATTGGCCGCCGGTTTTAGCGCTCTCCGCCCGTAACGAGAGCGCAACGATCCTTGCTTTTTTTTTTTTACTCCCCCTCTGCAATTAACACGAACACCGAAGATTCTATCTGACCGGCTCGTAAACCAGAGGAGAATTTTTGCTAACTTTTACGAAGACTGCATTACCAGAGAGCATTGGAAAGCTGACTTAGAGTAAACGCCTTTTTTGTACCGTTAAAATTCCGTCGTTTCCCCTGTACACATTTTCAATTATTTGTTTTTTTTTTTTTTGTAATGTCCAATAAGCTTTGTCATTAAAGAAGAGAGACTATTAGGAACTACTTTTTTTTAATGCTTGTACAAAAAAAGAATGTTTTCTTTCCGTCGTTCGTATTCGAACGGAAGTCGACGCACACGCGCGACAATGCGTTGACATTGTGACTCCTTTATGCACAGACAAAAATTCATATACGTTACTTCATACGTCCGTGGCAAAAGCTTTCACTTTCATATATTTTCTTTTTTCTGTAAGGATAAGAAACGTACAGCAGCACTTGAATAAACTTTTCCTCGCCTTTCCCCTATATCGTTAAACTTGAACTTCATATGATTTAAGTATCGGTTGATTCTGAGAAAAATCCATACCGTTTTCACTGGAATCGTACCAAATTTAGTTGCGACGCGGCGTATAGGGCATCGGTTCAAGGCAGAAATATGGCGGTCTCTGGGTCAAGAGCAGCTCGGATCGATGTGACCACGAGTTTTTGGTGCATCGTCGATCACGCCTGCGGTCTCGCGACCTGTATTAAGCAACATTTAGTCAAGAGAAATACAAAATCTCATTCTTTCTGAAATTTAACGTTGTCCCATTTTGACCAATCTAAAAATTCATTACATGCAGAATGTCTATATACAATGGAAAATGATAATACCCTTATCATTATTGTTAAGAAACTTTTTTTTAGACACCCTATACATAGATATATCGGGCATTTCATAGAATAAACAAAAAATCATCAAAACATTTCTGTTTTAACAAAGAAATCACTTAGAAGCACGCAGAATGTAGAGAATATAGAAAAAAAGGCAGAGATGTGCATGCGAGTGGTGTGTGGCGAGAGAGATATCTAACAATATACGTAAAACCTATAGACGACCGTTAACGCCCTCGCTGCCGGACGATGAACTGACGAATATATGTTTTTGTATGTGACATAAAGATTGCGGCCTGCGGCCGGAAGAGGAGGTCCTGGACCCAGGGGAAACCGATCGGTACGCCGGCTGTAAGGTGAGCCGTGAGACGCCATCATCCACTAAGACGACGACCACATCGGCAACTGGGAGCAAGAGCAAGTCATCGATTTCGTCCTCGTCGACCAATGCTTCCGGTACCACGCCCACGACATCCACAACATCCACAACGTCCGCTGCAGGGACAAAGGAGGATCGAGCGATCCTGAGCAGAAGACAGCGAAAAAATCGCACCAGGGCACCACGTGACCAGCGTCGAGAACGTGACGACGAGCACGAGGATGAACAGCCGACACAGCAGCAGCGACACCGTCGCCACCATCACTGTAGACAGCAGCACTATCAGAATAGTCCAACAAGAAGTTCTGAGTTCACAGGAATAACTACTTCTGTCGGAAGAAATTCTGGTTCCAGAAGGAACCACTCTCAGAACGATTCTCATCACGAGGAAAGCAAAAACGATAGTGTGAATGGTAGTGGCGGAAATAATGGTTCGAGGAAGGCTCGTGGTATCCTAAGCAGTCAAAGAAAGGAACTACACCACTTGAGCGACGCGGCACTCGCGTCGCTGCTCCGTCGGTACACGCTCACTGGGGAGCAACTGACTCACCTTGGTTACCCCGTCGAGTGTAGCTACTTTCCTGGTTACGCGGTCATCATCAATCATCACCAGCACCCGATGGGTCATCGTGCTCGTGGATACCATCACTTGGACGCCAATGCACGTGAATTTGTTCCTGGTAACAATAGTAAATCTTGGACCATGGTGGAGAGCGAAGGGGATAGTGGTAACTGCAGTGGAAGTTCTTTGGAGAGTTCAGATTTAGAACAAGAGAGCGCGTCGGATAGTGACAAGAGTTCAGACATCGGTGAATCTTCGTCCTCTGCTGATTCCTCATCGTCATCATCTTCTTCCTCGTCTGGATCTAGTTACCAGGAGAAATCACGCAGAGACTCCACTCCAGACCCCTATGAATTGGTGGTGGTTGAGAGAAGATGCGCCAGATGTTTCAAGAACTTCTACATTAACAGAGAAGACGGAGAATACCTACATGAGGAACGCTGTGTGTATCATTGGGGTAAATTGAGAAGTGGTCTGGTAGATGGTGCTCATGGCGATACATGGGAATGCTGCAGGGGTCGAGAAAACGCCAGAGGATGCACCACTGCCAGGATGCACGTGTGGACGGGTCTTGCACTCGGTTACAATGGTCCTTTCGATGGTTATGTTCGTACCAGACCAGCCAGAACAGTACCTAAGGACGGAAATTATGGCGTCTACGCACTTGACTGCGAGATGTGTTTTACGCGGCGGGGGCTCGAACTGGCGAAGGTCACGGTAGTTGGTATGGACGGCAAGGTCGTGTACGATACTCTGGTGAAGCCAGACGCCGAGGTGATCGATTACAATACCAGATTCTCGGGCATCAACGCGAAAGATCTGTCCAGGGCGTCAAAAACGCTGAGGGATGTGCAGAAGGATCTGACCAGTTTCGTACACGCGGAGACCATCCTTATTGGACACGGGTTGGAAAATGATTTAAGGGCGTTGAGGATATTACACACTACGGTGATCGACACGTGCGTCGCGTTCCCACATTTCCTCGGCTATCCTTTTCGTAGCAGCCTAAAAACGTTAGCGAGGACAGTGCTGCGAAGAGAGATACAGGTGACGGAACACGATTCCGTCGAGGACGCCAGGATCGCGGTGGATCTTATGTTACGAAGACTACAACACGATCTCTTGTAGAGTATATAGGTGAGAGAGTGTATGTGTGTGTGGACAAGAAGAAAGAAGAACAGGAAGGTACTTGGTAACAAGGAGTCGAATACATAATTATACATACACATATACATATAGTGAACGAACTGTCGGATTTCTTTTTCGCGGGAAAGAACTGATCTATCGTTCGAGCCTGCGATTAAATATGTGCACGCGATCACGAGGCCTCGACGTGTGCGGAGTTCTCGTTCGATTAGCGCCTGTGTGTGTGTAAATTGTAAGTGGGTCACGCTCTTTGTTTTTTTTTTTTTTTTTTTTCTCTCGAGGAACAGCGAAGAAGCGCTAACGAGAATTATTATTGTAGATCCACGGGCACCCACGATGATCGACTCGATTCCGCGTGCTATTGCGACTCCTTCCGTCAGTGTTCAGTTCCAAGTGAAGTCTGTGATACGTTACATATACAGAAACATAAAAAAAAGAGACTAAACTAAACGTTTACATGTGCGCGATCCCCATGTGTGTTTAGCCAGTGCTTGTCACAACACTCGGGGCGCGGTTTTTCACTCGCACAGATGGATTTAGAGATTCCTACATGCATACATTCATACACACACACGATTCATACGTTCATGCATTAGAGACATGCTCGAGAGTTTATACGGTGCGCAGCCATTGCCGAGGAAAAGGTTTGGCTCGATTTTCAATATGTCATTTTTCTTTTATACTTGATGTAGAATTTTCTTTTACTTTAACGAATCTCTATTGTGGTAACTGTAAAGATATTCGTTTGATTTATTTTAATCAATTTCTATTTCTTTGATGACTGATTATTACATTTAAGAGACGAGTACAAAGAGAAGAGTTATGTAGAGTGGGTAGTGTCGCTCTTCCTTCGATTGTGAATTTCAAAGTGTCATTGTTCGCAAAACTTTGGGAAGATGGGTAACTGTCCTTAAAAAAAATTCGATTTATTATTTCTTCTCACATTTCGTATCCTGTTGATATCATGTTTGTCGCAATAAAATGAATTGATTAAAAAAAAAATAACAAAAACAGATTTTCTTTGTACATTCGATTAGATGTACGCACATGTCCTATCCGCGAAACATTTTCCTCGACAAAAGGTATTGATGCTGGTCGGTGTACGAAATACACTGTCTCTCTCACAGCACGCAGTATAGTATATCTCGAGTCTCTTCTCTCACACTATACTTCATAGATCATATATGAAAATACGTTTGTACCTGTGTATATATATGTATATACATATATCTAGAGGTATATGTATATATACACATATACATATATTTAAATACATATACGTACGCGCGTATATATGTATGCACCTCTTATACCTTACGACCTCTTCACTCATGCATATTTCATCCTGCGTTGTTTTTTCGTACACGTACCGCGAGAGGACACGCGGCGTCATTGATGCTGGTAAGTGTCTCGGGCTTCCAGGATGGCTTGCATTTAAATTCTCCTCGAAAAACGACATCTAGAAAATGCCGGGTAAAAACGAGGACACACATCGAGATGTTACTTACGGAATCAACTTGATTCTCATATTTCTTCTTCTTATTTTTCTATTTTCGTGTCTTTTTTTCGCATTTTTCGACAACAGTTTACACAGTGTTCTCGTATCAGTAGTCGGTTCGGACGAAAAACGCCGTGGCGCACGTCCTTCCTTTGCGTTTCCAGAAACATCGTATCTTATCGGTCCCTACATGCAACTACGTGAGTTTATTACTTATCCATGACGTAGACTTACCAGTTTTTATTTAATAAGCTGTTTTATTTTTGCACTCTTATAATTTTTGGATTCGACGTGAACTGGGTTTCGTTCCGTACTCGTTTACAGTAACTTTATTAGTGGTGCTTCCCCTTCCAGGGGCCCGTATGTAAGGCGTTTTCCCTTGGTATATTCGGACGTTAGGTGGGGATAGTTTTGGGAGTCCCGTTGGATAGAGGACATCCTATCTGGAATGTCCATCTTTTCCGAGAAGTGGGTGGAAAGGGTTGTGACTTATTGTTGCGCTAAGGAATGTGGAGAAAAGGAAAAAAGGATCTTATCCGCGATGGACCAGTGTCCTGGCGGAACGTGCGGAGAGGGACAAAGGAAGAGAAGTTTCCCGGAGGAGCGCGAGGATCTTGTCTTTCGACAATTCTAATTTTCTGTTGTGGAAGAAAGGGTCCTATACCTGGTGGACCGTTTCTTGGAGGAGCGAGGGTTGTTTTATTGGATTGCAGAAATCAGAAAATTCTTGCTGAGTCAGTGGATTTTAATATGGAAGATTGAGCTTCACTCTTGGATTGACTTGGCTCAAAGACTTCTTGCTGATCATATCGGCCTGGTTCTCTTCTAAAAGCTCCTAATGAAGCGAGCTGAACTTGCATATCAGTTAGTTGATTTTGTAGAATCCTTAATAAATTTAGCATAATCGGATGCTTCTCCCTGAGAAGTTTTTGACTCTCGTCTATCTAGCACTTCGTTCAACAAGTCTATTATCTTATTATCATACGACGTTAATAATGAGGACTCATGCCCATCTTTATTTATAAAGTTCACTATCCTTGGAATCACGTAATTGTTATCGATTTTTGCCCAAGACTTTGTAGATGTACGAATTCTCTCAAATTCTGCCTCAGAAATTAAAGATAATATTTGTAGGAGAACATTTTTGTCTAACGTAGTAGATATTGAACTTAAATGTGGTGGGACAGGAATATGCATTTTTAGTAGGTCAAAATCTGATGTTGGGTGTTCTGATTCACGCATTGGAGTAGAACATATTGTTTTTGGTTCGATAGTAGATGCTTCATCTTGTTCTTGTGTGGGTTGAAAGTATTTCTCATCTGCTATTTCAATTGCTTCTCTTTCAGTTAAATTTGGATCTTTTAGTAATAGTTCTACCGTCCTCTCTAGTAAAGAGGAGTTGTCATCGAATTTCCATGATTTCTTGTCTAGTTCTAATTATTTTGGATCGTTACTTTCTAGAAATAGCAATTTGGAGTAGAGTATATCTGTTTTAGAATATGAGGGAGATCTTTTAAGGTAGACTTTCTAATTAGCCGCTCTTATAGACAACTCTTCAAAACAAATAGCTGAATCAAGCAGCTGACAGAAAATTTTAATTGACTTATCACTTATTACTGTTTCTTTATCATTTGATAGTGATTGAATGACAGACAAAAAATTGTCGTACTTAGTCATTTTGACTGTTCTCCTTTTAAAAGTTTATGGTCCTTGATTTGTTTTTCTTTAATGAGCGATACCTCGCTACCTGGAAGATCTAATTGTACAAACGGGTAGTTGTCCACTCGTTTTGCGATGGTGTTTCTGGCGTTGAGGATGCTGACTGTTGTCGTCCTAGTGGATGGTTGTGAGGCTCCGCCATGAGAAAATTTCTCTGCTGTCCTGGTTGAGTTGGCCGCTGTTGTTGCTTCCATCTCTTCGTCCTGCATTCTTCTTTCAGGTGTCCTTTTCTTCTGCAGTAGTTGCACTCCTTATGGTGGTAGTCTGCATCGAAGTTTCGTCTCGGCTCCGGTTGTCTACTTCCATTTGGGTTTTGTGATCTCATATAGGACAGTTCGACATCGAACATTCTCGCAGCTTCGAACGCTTGGTTGAGTGTATGTATAAATATGGCGATATTTCGGGCCTTACATTTCGGGCTGGAGTCGTGGGGTTGCATACGACCTCCGCCCAATCGGTACCGATTTCTTTTTCCGGACGAGCGGGCAAACGTGACCGAAATACTACTACGTTTTTATAACAGACAATGATAATCCATATCTCCCCATACGCCGCTATGATGTTTTCGTTCCGTGCGTGCACCGGCACGTAAACGATCGACTATATCGATCAGTCCTGAGAACTACGTGTCCGATTTCGCCTCGAATTAAGACGTAGATAATGCTTCGTGATTTTATACTTTATTACCGATATTAGTGACGCCTCGTGTTCCCATTTCTATCGACCATGTACACCATAGATATGACATGTACAGTGATGTTACCCCGATGCACGCGGTTATAAGTATCTAGCAACGGAATTTTTGTATTTACCTCGTGAGTAAATTTTATTGCCAGGTTTCATTCGAGGAGATCAATACATTTACCAGTCGAAATTTTATTTTACTTAATTTTAAATCTGCCAGTTTACGTTACTTTGCCGTTATTTTTCCTTTTTTCTTTCTTTTTAATTTATGTTGTCGCGTCAAAACACATAAAACTTAAGTACATTATTTCTTTGCATTCTTCTGAGTTTCTTGTACATATGTATATCATCAACGACATCTTTCATTACGATGTTCGAACATTCTAAAGGCAGAACATTCATTGGCATGTACAAATCTGTTGTTGATCATAATTCGCGCGCGTAAGACAAGGACGGTATTCACACACATTGTTTCATCATACAATACCGTTTCAAAAAAAAAAAAAAATCACCGGATAATGAAAACGCAATATTATTCATCGCTTTGTAAATAGCGTAATATTTATTCGAGCGCATCACGAGACAAAGTACCTGTGCATCTTCTTCGAAGAACGTTCCTCCGCCATTATTCAACTCGAAGAGGTTATACTCGCTAGGGGATTCGTTCGCGATCGATTACCCTTGTTATTCCTCTCCTTTTTTTTTTTATATCGAAAGTAGTCTCATTAAGAAAATATAATCTTTCATATGTAACAAAAACGTCTGAGTACCGTTTGAATACTCAAAACAAATATATTTACCATGCTCAAAGTAATTGTTGAGATTAAACGAAGTACAAGAACGAATTAAGTATTACGAAAAAGAAAAAGGAACATCAGATACATATATACATACATATATTGCTCAAAATAATTTTGAACTCTTATTCTTCAAGAATGAATCAACAAGTTTTACCAAGTATATAATTGTTACAGTACAAGTGACTCGTGTAAAACTCATAATTATTAGGTACGAGTAAGTGATTTTCGAATTACTTTGAGATGACAATTTATCCAGAAATATTTTCGTCGAATATGTAAACAGCTTTGAAATAAACGATCGATTAATGATTTCGAGCCAAACAGAATGGCGTAGTAATAATTACAATCGAACGTGGGTAACTTTCAGAAATGTCAGCCATCTTGGCGGAACGATCAGGTTATGCATTTCAATGGGGGGCGATCTCTTTCTTATTGAGAAATATTCGTACGTTATCGCTAGTCGAGGATCTCGTTCCTTTTTCAGAATATTGCGTCGGATGAAGTTTCGTGATGAATCATCAGCCTTGGAGCGATCTCGTTCGACGCGAGTGCGCGCGCGCGCGCGCGCTCTGGATGAAATTCGAATTGTCCAAGTCGGATTCAGATCTTTATCGTCGCTTTATTGTTATCACCGTTATGACTGGTTGAAAAAAATAATCGTTCGAAAGTTCCTACATCGACGAGGCAGTTTTTTCTTTGAACCTGGACTTGATGCTCGAAAATAACAGAAGAATAAAATGTAAAAAGAAAAAAAGAGATGGTAGCGGTTACGAGCGAATCCCCGCGAGTCACAGCGTGTCCCTGAGAGGAAACAATGGAAGTGCCGCGACATGAATCCTGCGACAGCGCGAGCCACATAATGAACTCC